TATATATATATATATATATATATATATATATATATATATATATATATATATATATATATATATATATATATATATATATATATATGTGTGTGTGTGTGTGTGTGAGCGCGCTTTTGCACACATATTTTTCCTAATGCAGCAATACGTACGTATACGCGTGTAGATAAGTAGGAACGATGATTGATTATGTTGAAAAGCCGACTCCATCTTTTCTCTGTATATTTTGTTATTTATTCTTTGACGCTTTTTTTTTAAAAATATTTTTCCAGGCTGTGTTGAGATCTGTTGGCATTTTCAATAAGATATTTTTTTGTATTTCATTTCTACTACAAATTTTATGATCTTTTTTTTTTTTTCTTGTAGTTAGCTATTTTTCTGCTAAAAGAAAAGCGTTGTCAACTTCAAGTTAAAAACGACATTACGTCACACAGGCAATGGTATGACGTATATTGAAACGTTTTATCACTGATACCTGGGAGGTCAGCAGCTTTCTTTCTCAAATACACATACAGTGTACGTGTGGGCGTACGGAAAAATACCTACAGGAAGCCTTCCTGTGATTGGTTGGGTCAAAAAGATGACGACATATTTGTTGTTAGCTGGTATAAGGCGGTTTTAATCTCATTCAGAATTGCTGATTTTGATTATAAAACGATACTATGGACACCCACGTAGAAACGGAAGATATGGTTTTATCTCCATTTCAAGTGTTTCTGTTTGTTGGGCCAGTAGATAGTTCCTTTTGAAGTTCGTCCTTCTAAGCGGCATCTACTTTATTAACTTTAAATGAAATTAAATGAAAGAAAAATTCAAGAAGTTATAGGAAGAAATATATTAAGTTATAGGAAGTCAAAAAGTAAGTACATACTTGTGGCCTTCTTATATGTTACATATCAGTCTAGCAAAAAAGTGGCAACAAAACTATCCGAGTGTTGGCTTATATTAATTTATACTTTGAATCGGGTAGAGTTCTGGCCCGTCCATGTACGTGTCGCGGTTCCAAGGCCTTCATTTCGTATTGATATCCACCACGTCGAAATGAGTAGATAGGTGAGGAGTTGATAAGGCGCAATATATAAAATATATATATATATATATATATATATATATATATATATATATATAATTTATTCGAATATTTTGGTGTTTTATCAACACCATCATTTGATAAGACACCAGAAGTGTTGAAACAAAATGGCTATTTTTGTAGTGATTTCATATGTTTATGTTATAATGTTCGAATAAATCATATTTGCCCTTCTCTGTATTGAACACTCTTTTAAGAATAGTATTTTTGGTTACTGGAATTTATTACGTATACACCAATCCTATACTTGGGTATATATATATATATATATATATATATATATATATATACACACACACACACACACACACATATATATCGGCTTGGATTGAGGAATCGGAGAGCAGCCATGTTCGAATTCCAGTCGAATCCATTACATTTACTTACATGCTAATACCCTTGGGAAAGGTATTAATCCTCCTCTTCTCCTTCCTGCTATGGGTAAATAGCAGGACAGACTGGGTTTTATAGCTTTGGATGGCAACTGGTCTAGGATAAGGACAACTATGAACTCAAAACCTGCGAAGGGTTGTTTGCAGACCTTGTTGCATGCAGTGCACCAGGTATCCGTATTCGGCCCCTCAAAAAGTGTGGTTGGTTCTGCACAAAGCCTTCACCACTATAATCAAATCATATGTGCTGGTGTCTGGCTGTCAGTTCCTAGGAACTGAACTGCTTGACCCTCATACATCGAATACGACGGAAGAGTCCACCATATATATTTGCGTAGTTAACGCAAAACAGACGACGGAAAATGTGATATTGAAATCCGATGACGGATAGAAATATCCATAGATGTCTTCCTGAGATTTCCTTATCAACAATTGGGGAAATTTCGCCCGAAACAAAGAAAACTGTTGAACTGCTACGTATTATCTAATTTTCAGTACCGTAGTAAATGCCGGAAGGGACTTGTAATGAGGTGTAGGGGATTCTGTTGACGAATGTCCTTGAAAACAAAGAAAGGAATGCTAGATTGACATGTAACATACAGCATTTGTCTATATTTCTGAGATGAGGTATTATGTACATTATTTACATTATTCGGACTATTGTCCTCATCTTTGTCGCCATATTTATTACAACGCTCCGGCCTTCTTCAGGTGATTGGAATGTCGAACTGAACCCTTTATTTCGCTCACTGGGGTAGACTGTTCTAGTTCCACGTGCCATGTTTGATGGATGTCAGTTATCAGTTATCTCCTGTTAATTTCCCTCTGAAAGTTCTCCACTGCCTTAACCGGATATTGAACTCACACTCTTTGGGTCCTGTCACTGGATCTAACTAACACCTTTATCCACTGTGCCATGTGTCCTTGAGGATAATGAACATACAGGATTTTTTTTTCATTTCATTTAAACCGTTAATTTTTTTTGTCAGTCAACAAACATTAATATCGCTTAATTTTAACCATTAATCTTGTTTGCAATAAATACTGCATTTATTCTATGCTGCACAATCGCCTCATTGATGAAAAAGAAAACTATAAGTGACATAGATGGTGTTCTACTAACGAATGTTTTTAGACACGAAGGAAAGAGTTCTAAACTGTTGTGTATATCTGTTATGGTCCGGTTCCTTGTATCCCGGGTGATAGTTCAAGGTAGAACCAATAAAGAAGAACTCGAATACGGATATGGAATAACACAGATATATTACAAACAGGAATATATACAGAGAGGTAGAGAAGTGTTAGTACGAACAATCAGGTTTAGTAGTAATTGTCTGAACGCAACTCTGTTTCGGACTGCCTCTGACTCGACTGACTGACTCGCTCTGACTGACTGACAGACTCCTGACGGACTTCACTCCAGACTTCAGGCTGAACTCAGACTTCAGACGGAACTCAGACCTCCCTGCTTCCTCTTGAGGCGCAGTATTTATTACGTATGGAATAGTCCATTATGTTCTTATGGGTAAGGTCCCATAATATCTAACCTCGAATATAGCATTGAACGCTAGACAATATATTCATAAATCTATATATAAAATTCTGTGACATCTGTTAGTCTGTCCGTCACACCCTCTAAAATGGCCATATATTGACCGGTCGAAACCAAATTTTGGGGAGTAGTGCAAATAGCTGAGTGGGTACAAAGTACACTTGGTTTTATTTGGGTACGTAGCTTAGTACAATAAATGTTCATTAACTTGGAGAAAAAATGAAAATTTTCTTTAAGTTTATATATATACAAGAATCCAGTTTCCAGTTCGCCCTGGAAAAATTCACAAGATCAAACGCTTCAAAAAGCTGAAATTTGGCTCCATAAAGAAATATTTATGCATGGCCAGTTGCATGTTGCCTGCTCGAGAATAAGAAATTTTAAAAATTTATTATTCGCTGTTAAATAGAAAAAGGGGAAAGAAAATGAAATTTTCTTTAAAAAATATTGTTTACCATGAAGTCCTACAAAATTAAATTCTTAAACCGTGAAGTAGGATTTTTGTCAAAGTATTTTTCAAAACAAATTAGCTCATTCAAATTTCATCGATTAGTTTACGAAATTGAACGAAACGTAGAGTTTGTAAATCCCGACAAAAATGTTAACGATAATTTTAACAGAACTACATACTGTGAGGGTTTCAACATGTGTAAGCGTGTTCCGAAAAAATTCTAGTGTCGAAGAAATCAAAATCGAGATAGATATGGTTCTGTTGAAAAATGTCTTTAAAATTAAAGAAAAGAATGCTGAATTGCTATTTGATATCTAATCCGTTAGATAAGTAGAAAGAGACAGTTGTAATTTCTAAGAATTATAATGAAAAAGGAGGACATGAAAAATTTAACACTCACATCATGGCAATAAGAGAAGCAAAGAGAAAACATCGTGTAACCGACTTAGCTATTGCTGTGTCGGAAACCTACCACCCCTCTGGAAGATGAACTTGTCTGTGAACAAAGACTTTAAATAGTGGCATGTCAGTTGACATGGAAGATTGATAGACAGAGAAGTTCTTAGCTGAGCTAGTTATTGACTACTCAGGCTATTTCTGTACCTTTTTACCAACCTATTAAAACCCTTTTTATTGTTACGTATTATTTAGCGTTTGTCTCTACTAACCCCAAATCAACATCATAACAGCTATAGACCAAGAACATCGACAAAGTAGAATGGTAAAGACTCAAAAATTACTTCGAGCAAGAAGAGGTACGTTTTTTTAATCATTTCACACTAAGCAAGGCGATAAAGTCACTAAGACGCTGGGGACTACTGGAAGTGAAAAGAACCGAGAAAACGTTATTGAGGAGAGGGGACAATAAAATAACAGAATGCAAGGAGGCAGACGATGACGACTGACGTTGCATTTCAATTTTTGAAGATCGTAGTTGACAGAAAAGCAAGGTACCAGACGAGAATTCCATAAGAGGAAAAGCGTGAAAGAAACCATTAGCATAGAACTTACGCTTATATATCACAATTTCAACAGTAAAATGTTGAGACCTAGCTGCCAATCTAGTTTAGAGAGCAGTTAACGATTTCAGTTAACTCTGCTTGTCGACTCTCTGCTTCCGAGCGAAGAGTAACAGAGACGAGCCTATGCCGAAGGGAAGAGTCTCGTCTGGGGAGGTAGATAGCTACCCGACCCCGTGTATACGGGGTCTACGGGCAATTTTTGCCCGAGCTTACAGGCTCAGAACGCCCCACGTAAAAAACAAAAACGGCCTTGTTCCATATCCCGCCTTGTGGGGAGGTCTCAGGTAAATACCGAGATTTTTTTTAAAAATATAACAATGGTTTACTGATACAAGTCTTACTTAATTAACCCATAGCTGGGAGGAGAAGTGATAAGTTCATACCTGTCCCAAGAGTATTTTGACATAAATGACTATAACAAACACAACGGGAATTGAACTCGGCTCTCCGATTAACAATTCCGAGACATTATCCATACACCACCCGCACATCCACGCTTACAGCATTTGGTATACTCAAGCGTTCACCCATCTAGGTACTGGCCGGGCTCGACGTTGCTTAACTTCGGTGATCGAAAGGGAACGTCTGTTTCAACGTTATGTGGATAGTACTTACAAACTTCTATATTTTTCTTCCTAACTGTTATTAAAAAGTATTGATGTATAACCAATAATTGATTGATTCGTTTTGTACGGATTAGCAACTCTTTGCTGGTTATTTAAAGCCAGAAAATATTTTTAGATTGTAAGAATTATGGTGGGTGGCGGGAGATAACAATGATTTAGTGATACAAGACTTATTAATTAACATATAGCTGTAGGGGAAGACGAGGATTCATAGCTTCCCATGGCTATTTGCGAGTAAGTGAATATAACGAACCTAACTGGAATTTGAACTCGGCGCTCCGATTAACAACTCCTAGCCATTATCCATTACAACACCCGCACATCCAAGCTTACAGTTCCTGGTATTCCCAAGTGGTTACCCATCTAGGTACTGACCAGGCCCGTCGTTGGTTAACCTCGGTGAAGAACCGGTGTCTCAATGTGATGAAGCTAAATAAAGATCTGAATGCTGTGATAAAAACTAACGGAAATGAAGACGGCAGAATAAAAAAAAGTCAAAATTTAATAATGAAAAAAAAATATTTAAAATGTTGGAAGAAGTATTTTAAAAGAACATGTTTGAAGACTAGTTTAATCAGTGATTGGAACGGTGTTCTTACAAGCCAGTTATTCCGACATCATTTCGGATCGAATACACACCGAAGACGAAATAATGTCACGAATGAAACAATTTATATAAGGCTTTTTATACGGTGTAAAATATCCAAGTGCAAGACTTCAATCTAAAAACAACTCGCCTCTTACTCTCGCCTGTATAGAATTCTTTTCTCTTCTCTAGTCATCTGATTTGCAAATTCGTGCTAAATAGCAGTATATCGATCTTCATTACTCGCAGCATCAGACCTCGGTATGTTAGCGTTTCGAATAACAAAAGAACGAAGTTTTTTCTTTTGTTTTTTTTACCTCGTACACTTCTCGTCGCGCTTCTTTCAAAAAATTTCTACCGGTCCCTAACCGAAGCGAGGATCTGACGTCAGAGGCAAATAGAATTCTAGAAAAAAGCGGGACAAACAATCGATCAACCTTTCCCATTTTCTTTTTCTTTTTTCTTTTTTTTCTTCTTTTAATGCTATTGGTTCGTGGTCAAACAAAGCGTTTCTCGTTCGTTTCTTTATGTCCATTATAGAACCTGATTCAAAGTGTCTCGCTCAATAACAAAAGGAAAACAGAAGAAAAATGAGCGTTTTTTACAGGAACGCACCTCTCCAAGAAATAATCTTTTTTTTTTTCTTTTAAATTTTCTTTTCCCCATTCCTAACGAATAAACACTCCAGATCGCGAATACCAAAAAAAAAAAAAAAAAAATTTTCTGAATTCATTCTAAGAGGGGGTTCATTTCGCTATGTAAATTCATTATAAATTGCTCCCCCTACACAAGCAAAAAAAAAAAAACAACACTCATAACATGTGACAAAGCATATACTTACTTAACTTAATAAATTTCAACTAATTTCATTTTAAATGAAGAAATTAATATTTATATTATTTAAAGAATATTACGTTGTTCCGTCTTGTTAAAATAATGTTTACTTTACATAAACAATTTCAATTAATTTCAAAGCAGCCACGAAATAAGAATTTAAAGCACATACTTACTAACTTTTCCCCTTTTTTATTATTATTTGTGTATGTTATGTTTCCTGCTTTGTATCCTGGAGAACCGGGTCCAAACTATGGCCCTCAGACACAATGGAAGAATTGTCACATAATTGATAGCAATTTTCTTAATACATATGATATGTTCTTAGTAGAGTGATCTTCTGGGCAACTTGTATTTTAATGTTACCTGGGACACTGTTATTAAAATTTACATTACTTTTCTCACGAGGCCCAGAGCCTCGAGGTCCTTGTATTTTAACAATTTCTCGATAATTTTGATGGGGGTGTTTCTCTCAACTGATACTGCTATATCAATAAGCATACACTTCCTGAATTTATTGTCTTTAATGATAATATCAGGTCCTTTGGATTTTATTCCCCTGTTAGTTTGAATTGGCATATCCCAAAGGATAGTTACATCGTTATTTTGAATAACTGACTGGCTGGTGCTCATATCATCTCTCAATGGTATCGATTTCGTGCTTCTTGCATACCTTCCAATGCCCAATGAGAATATGCAAAGACTTAGGGACTCTCAAATTCCCGAACAAGCCGAGAGGCCACTCAAAAGCCCTCCGCAGGAGATAGGTTGAACAGCGCCCGATAGCAGACCAAGATATAAATGTAACTAGTCAGTCACTCCAGTTAGTAGACTAAATACATGGAAGTGTACCAGAATACAACATAGACCGACATTTATATCTTGGTCAGTCTATGAACTTCTCAACATACTCTCGTATATATATATATATATATATATATATATATATATATACTCGACTCTCCCGTCGAATTCGACGTATGAGGTTCAAGCAGATCAGTTCCTAGGAAACCGACAGCCCAGCAACAGCACATGAGATTTGATTATTATGGTGAAGGTTTCGTGCAGGACCATTCACACTTTTTGAATACAGAGACCAAGTGCACTACATACCACAAGGTCCACCGTAGGTTTTGAATTCAGAGTTGTCCTTCTCGTAGACCAGTTGCCATCCAAGGCTATAGAACCCAGTCTGGCCTGCTATTTGCCCACAGCTGGAGGGAGAAGAAGATGATAGAGAGAGAGAGAGAGAGAGAGAGAGAGAGACGTTGGGGGTTGTTGGATTTTAAATCAGCCCACATCTCTATTAGCTCGTATACTGGATTGTGCTAATATTGCTTATCAGCACTTTATACACACTAGTAGTTCGTTGCAACGAATCTGACCACAATTTTCATGTAAATGCCAGTCTGACCAGAACAGAAAGATTCACTCATAAGAAAATGCATTGAACGTGCTCTAACACACACACACACACACACACACACACACACACACACACACACACACACACACACACACACGCAGAAAAACATATATATATATATATATATATATATATATATATATATATGAAGAAATATAGTTTTAAGGTGTGCTATATTTATGGGATAAAGTGCTCAATATCAGAGATAGAGCGTGTGTAAATATAAAAGTAAACATATAAGTCAACACTTAGAGGCGACAGTCTGTTTCATACTATATATGCAATCGTCAGGCCACGTATATATATATATATATATATATATATATATATATATATATATATATATATATATATATATATATATTAAAAACTTACAATCATGATAGCAATGTTTTAAAATACTTGTAATTCTTGAAAAACATTTACAAATATAAATTAACTTACCTCTCTTGATAACGTTAAATTTTTAATCAACAGGGCGTTTCATGCGCATTTCTAAAAAAATCACAACTATATATTACATTAGTTTTTGTCTTAGCAATTCAAGCCTGAAGATGATCTTGGATGAGAATTGAAAGTACTTAGAAAAATAAAAGGAACGTGAAAAACTACGGCGCCTTCCTTAATTAGTTTAATAACAAGAATTTGAAAGGATTAAAATAGAAATAAATAGACATAATACGTCTAGATTATTCAAACATGATTGAATGAAGAAATGTTGCATATATATATATATATATATATATATATATATATATTAATGAATATACATATCCCACACCGTTTACACTACTCAGAGTTTCATGCCAAACGCAGTCTTCAGGTGTTGAGTGTAACTGAACATTATTTAATTTGAAAAAAAAATCAGTTTATAGTATTCTGGCGTAGTTAAGCACTATTTATATAGTGATATAATCGTCTACAAAAATAAAAGAAAAATACAATAATTATTTTTAAATAAAATTAATTATATTTCTCATGACATTAAATCTAGCAACTAAACCAACATGTATTACCATATGATCATAAGAGATAAATAATTATTAATTTTAGAATAGTGAGTTATCAACTATAAATTATTAATTATCAATAACGGAAGAGAACTAACTTAATTTAATTTAATACAAAATAGTAACATTTTTAGAGAAATGTATATATATATATAAAACTATAAATAAATATATATATAAATATATATAAATAAATAAATATAATAAATACAGCAACTTAAATAAAATAAAATATATAAATAAAAAAAAGTATAATAGAAATCTATATTAAAAAACCAATAGGTATTAACCCATAATACGTAATATTTATTAAATTAGTAAATACATAAGTAAATCAGCAAACAGATAAATAAAAATACCTTACACTAAAGCTAAACCTCATTGGTATAGAAAAATTAATCTGGGTCTACATTATCGTCCGTAGGTATACTACAACAATAAGTTCTTTTCTTCATCAGCCTATATGTTAGTTTTCCGCTGGAGAATTACACCGTCATCTCTATATAGTCCGATGTCTTTAATGTCGAACATAAATCAAAGACGTCAGAGCAACAGAATTCCAACAATATTACCTGCATCTGCAGAATCATACACAACCATAGCAATATTAAACTCTGGGTTGTTTCTCTTAGTCCACAGACAATCTTTGTGGGAATGTACCGGTGTTTGTGCCTGATTTAGGATATTCATTTCTTGATCACTAAAAGAGCAGTAATCTCTAGCTAGCTTTATAGCCGCCATTAGTGACCTCTCAGTGATGAACGGGTAGAAGTTGCAAATATCGAATTGTATGAACGCGCATTCATATTTCTTTTTTTATGTCATTAAACCATTCTATGGAATCAGCTGGGTTTTTTTTTCCTCACTGGTTGATTCCTAGAGCATTTTTGGTATAACTGCATGATCTTTCAAGAATGGTTTTGCTTATTTTACCGATATTGGTTTTTGTACGCTTTAGTAATCGGTATTGAGAGTTATTAGGAAAATTAGCCTTATGGTCTTTGACTGTGATGAATGCTTGTTGCTTATGCAACTTATAGATTCTATCATCGATTTTAAGTTCTGTAGTTATGTCTTTGGCTTCTTTATTGATGTTGTTTTTCCCGGTTTTGA